GCTTAGGCCCCTAGGGAGTGAGGTGAGGGGAGAGTGGTGGCAGCATTCAAGTTCTGGCAGCATGTTAAACAACAGGCAACTTTCAGGAATTACAGGGCCACACCATCTACTTGAGTTACATAATACACTTATGGTTAACACTAATTCATTTGATGTGCTCAAGTATCTATGTACCCAGTTAGAAGATTCAGATCCTTTAATATTCCCAGGTATTTTGTGTTTTATAACTCTATTATCATTTTAATGTTGACATGAAGACCCAAGATCCAATCTTCATGATAAAGACAAAATTTCTTATTAACAGCTAAAGCAAATCCACAAGTTGACATTCTAATATAGTGTCAGAAGATGGAACCAAGGGATTGCCTTGGGTGAGCATCAACATTGAATCATTGCAGTTGGAAATAACAACAGTTTTGTTTTTATGATTTCACACTGATGTTTACCTATATGTAAACTCCTTTAGAGATTTCAAATGATCGAACCACCAAGCCTGGCTGCATTTTCCTTGAAAACTATTGAGAAAAAAAAAAAATTATAGATCAGGAAGACTTCGTTGATTCTTTGCAATTTGCATCTGCACTATACCAAAACTAGGAGAAATGTGAAAAAAAATCAGACATGCAAATGTTATTTAATACCTTATATCTAGATGTTTTGGAGGTCTGGTGTTATAAGGTTTATAGCTTTAAGACTGCATATATTTTCAAAAGTCAAATAAAATATTGCATTTTATTTATATTTGTTTCTCATTTTGATTTGTTTCTACTACCTTTTAGAATTACCAAGAAATTTTATGGAAATCACCATTTTGAAATCAGGTAAGAAGCAGAAAAATACAGAACTGCAATATTATCTATCTTCTTAAGTAAGTGTATATTTAGCATTCTATTGCTCAGTTATCCAGATGATTAAATTTATTTCTTGAAAAGCAAATCACATATCAAATTTGACCTTTTTTTTTGGCACACATGATGGTAATGTGGATAAAATGTTATCAAAACAGTTAAATTTAATTTAGAAAAAATATACTTTTGAACTAAAAAACTAAAAATCTCAGGTTAAAAGTGAGCTTTTTCATAATCTCTGCAAATCTGAAAATATGAGTAAAATTATTGAATTGTATTGAAACAAAGGTAGGAAAAATAAATTTTGTAAAATGTTTACATATATTTATAAACTATATATGTTTCTTTTATTACTAATTTAAATGTCCTTACTCATAAACAGAAGATCTAAATATGGGCAATAATCAAATTCCATCATGTTTAATATTTTTCCTTCTCCAGTCATATAAAAATTTTTTCATGCACTTAGTTTTATATTTCATTGCTCAAAAGCTATAGTTGACAAGGTAGAACATTTGAATATATTCTAAGTAGCAATTTTGTTACCTTAATGTATAATTGCAAATATTTAGAGACATGAACTCCATTTATCTTCCTGCCCCAGACAGGCTACTGTTAGGTGAGACTATACAGATTTTTTTTTTAAGTCATATTATCATTATCTGGTATAGTTTTGATGTGTGTCCCCACCCCAATCTCATATGAATTGTCTAATTGTAATCCCCAATGTTGGAGGCTGGGCCTGGTGAGAGGTGATTGGATCATGGATTGGAGTCTCATGAATGATTTAGCACCATCCCCTTGCTGCTGTTCTTATGATAGTTGAGTTACAGGAGATCTGGTTGTGTAAAAGTGTGCAGCACTTCGCTGCTGGCTCTCACCTGTTCCTGCTTTCGCCTTGTGATGTGCCTGTTCCCCCTTTGCCTCCTGCCATAACTGGAAGCTTCCTGTGGCCTCCCCAGAAGCAGATGCCACTATGCTTCCTATACAGCCTGAAGAACTGTGAGCCAATTAACCCTCTTTTCTTATAAATTAACCAGCCTCAAGTATTTCTTTATGGCAATACAAAAACAGAGTAATCTTTTCTTCAAGATCCTTCCTCACAACTAAGAAGTTGACCCTGCTTCTTCTCTTTCTTTCTTCCATGTATATGGGTTTTCTTTATAGCGCCCTCTAAATTTCGATGATCGGTTTATACTTGACTCCTCCTGGCTAAATTGTACTTGATATAAAACACACACGCACACTTCTTTACTTAGTATTAGAACTCTAATGCTCTATAGCAGTCATGTACCTGGAACCTAGTAGTTGCTCATGAAAATGTATGTTCAGTTTTATGTTGAATTTGTGTTACTGAAAACCATCTATCAGAGTATGGATTATACTTTAGGTCAGGGGTGTCCAATCTTTTGGCTTCCCTGGGCCACACTGGAAGAAGAAGTATTGTCTTCGGCCACACATAAAATACACTAAAAATAGCTGATGAGCAAAAAGAAAAATAATCGCAAATAAACCCTCATAATATTTTAAGAAAGTTTACAAATTTGTTTTGGGTCACATTCAAAGTCATCCTGGGCCACATGCAGCCCACAGGCCACAGGTTGGACAAGCTTGCTTTAGATATTCACTTAGCACATGTTAATGATGGAGTAAATAAAATTGATCTTCCAACTTGCAATTTTCTAGCATCCTCATGAAATTAAAATTCCATTTCGCTTACCAATACCTGTCTCTATTACCTACAAACTATCCATCAGAGGGTAACTAATTAATACACTAATTTTTCTCTGCTGAGGCATTGGCACTGACTTTTTAGTAATGCCATGTACTTTTCCCACTTGTAATTTGTAAAATATTCTCTTATGATCACCATGTATTTTGTAAATAATAGAATAGAATTTGATTATATATAATATATGATAATAATGATTATATAAAACATCATATATATGACATTTAACAAACCATGTTATGGTTTAAATTATGTTGCCGAAAAAGTTGTTGAAGTGCTTTCTCTCAGTAAATGTGACCTTAACTGAATATAGGATCCTAGCAGATGAAATCATTTGGGTGGTCCCTAATCAATACGACTGAGTCTTTATAAAGAGGGGAAATTTAGACACAGACATAGACACACACACAGGGAGAATCCTATGTGAGCAGGAAGGAAGATACCAGAAAATGCATCTATAATCCAAAAAATGCCAAAATCTCCAGAAAACTACCAGAAATTAGGTAAAAGGCATAAACAGATTCTCCCTCACATCCCTCAGCAGAAACCAACCTTGCTGACACTTTAATGGTGCATGTCTAGCCTCTAGAACTATGAGAACGTTAATTTCCGCTGTTTAAGCCATCCAGTTTTTGGTGAGCTTTGTCGAGTTTTCGTAGAGCTTTGTTATACCAGCTCTACAAAACTAATACACGTATAAATATTGCTGGAGATAAATATTCTCAGAACTGCCCATCATTTGGACAATATATCAACAACAAGAATGACTGACGTGTGAATAGTGTCTTTTGAAAGAAATCCTAAAATTGACCTTCGTTGAGAACTTTCAAAGAGAAGAGAAAAGTCCAATTTGGGGTGCAGTCCTATGCAAAAGCAAGCATCCTAGTGGGGATGAGGCCAGGTGGGTTTTTATGATTGGCTTAAACATAGATTGGGATAGCATGAAATAAAGGCAGAGAAAAGGGGATAGAAGATCCTAAACTCTCTAATTGTGTTCCTTCATCCTCCCTTACTACGCACCATTTGCTTTTTTATAACATGCTACCTTCCAGAGAGATCATATGGGCAAAGTATTTCTGCTTCTAAATTAGCCCAAAAGTTAAAAAAAAAAAAAAAAAAAAAAAAAAGATTCCTGGTTTGCTTTCCTGTGAAGGTATAAGATAAAATGTAAAGAACAAGCACAGTGATGATAGAAAGGTTGAACTCAGATTTTATATTTTTACAAAAGGAATTTTTAAAACGCATATTGTACGAGAAGAGATGTAGCAGGGTACTAATAGCGTAGGCCTTTTAAAAATCAATAATTGGTGTTAGTAATAAGAGCTGTGCTGACAACCAGCTGTGAAAGTGGCCTCATTCCTGCAGTGCAGGAGGGAAGAAACCAGCCGGTGATTACCAACTCCAAGTATTGCTTGCAGTCAAAGCTTCATTAAAAAAATTAGTAAAATACCCTTTTTACCTTAAAATATGTGTCTCGGTATTGAAAGAAGATCTATATAAAGAGTTCAGAAAAGAACTGCTGCAAACTGTTCAAATCAAGAGTATTTCCCAGTTGGGCTGCCGGCCTACATTGTGGAACTTACTCTTTAGTAAAAAGCTCTTCTCCTCCCAATTAAAGAAAAAAAGGTTGGGATGCCCACAGGTCCTTGCAGCATGTTTAGCGTGACTTTTAACCCCTCATTTCACCTTCTGTATATGGCTCTTCTTTATACCACCACCTGATACAGCCACAGAATCTAGTCTCCACTGCAAATTAGGCTGTTAGCATCTCTTTCACAATTTTTAAAAGTCAGTGTCGAAATTCATCGTTGGCCCTTGCTGGTCTTCTATGCATGCCGCCTGTGAAAATCCAGCCATTTATTTTTATTCAAATCAAAGGGAGACATTTTTGTTATTAAATAAGTTACTCAAAAAACAACAGCAACAGAGTCCACTTCTTACCAGCGTATTCCTGTAAACCTGATATTCTACATGAATTGTCTTAATGAGGAAATATATCCAAGCGCTGAATAAGGAATCTTAGATTTCCAGCTTTGACTTTTAGCTACAGCTCACTCACACACGACCTTACAAAATCCCTTAAATCTCCAAGAGCCCATTTCTCATTTTCCTCTGTGCTCCCATGGAGCTGATCCAATGGTTTTTAAGGGAGCTCTGAGCTTGGACAAGCTCTGAAGGGCATGGGGCAAGACAAGAAATGGGCCCCGTGCCCCCTGCTTATTGTCCTGGAAAATAGGTGTGATAATATCAGCCTCACCGGGGTCCCATTGCAATTAATGTTTGGAAAATGTTTTGAAATCCCAGAGTTAAGAAACGCAATACCAGTGCCAATTATTTAAGGGTCTTATTTCTAAAGCACTATTCAAATTGTTTTAAGCCACTTTTTCTAAAAATATATGATACAAAAGCAATTATACTACTTGCAAGCATAAATTGATGTGGTGGTTTTATGGTCTTTTGAAAATTGCCTCAGTAGAATATCGCCGTGACCTGGAACATCTAGTTAAATGAGGAATCTGAGTTTTGTAGACTCGCCCCAACACTTAAACGCCAAAGAGATGAATCTATGAGAAGGGTGCTTTTCTTTGTTGATCTTGATTGCAGTTTCTGCACTTTCCAGAAGGTGATGGTGCTTTGCTTGGCTTTGGTTCAGATCTGAGGAGGGAAGCCGAATAAACAGTGGAAAATGAAGGATGAATAAAAAAAGAAAAGAAAAGAACCTTGCCTTATGTTCTGTTAAGGAAAGAGAAAACTTTTACAACCAAAGGCATTACAGAAGGTCTTATAAAATATTCTGGTTTTGAGCTTCAATAACTTTATAATCTTCATATCCAACCAATCTTTGCTGTATGAGTATTTCTGAGTCAAACATCCTGGAATTAAAGATAGCTTTCGAAGTATTTCTAAACAATGTGTAAAACTGACATTATTAGAAGTCTTTGAGTATATAGACAAGATGGAAAGTTTAAAATAGGGAGACCAAATTGAGAACAAAGATGTTTCTAAAGATAAATCTATTGCTTGAATTTATTATATAACAACATTTTTTAACTATACAGGTTTGCATTTTACTTGGTATAAAATACATCGTTGAAGAGTTCACATATACATCCAAGCTATTATATGCAATTGGGAATGGATGCTCAATGCTGTGTACAAGGTAAAAGAGGTCTTTAAAAATATGTGTATCTATTAATACTAAGCTATGCATCTTTCAGGTGTCCTTGTAATTTAGTGTTCTTTTTCTTTTTGCTTTATTTGCAGTTTATTTAATATTTGAAAATACTTTTTGTATCAATTAGCAAATTAGCAATTTATCTGGGCGGAAAAACCCCATCTTAGTTACTGAGTTACAAAGTGAATTGTTCTGCAGCTGCAAAATCAAGTGCCTCAGCTGAGTTAATGCTTTTCATTTCTTTTGCATGTGTCAGCATTAATGGAGGCAAGCTTCTATGAAGCCTTGCGTGTGAAGATGGTGCTGAGCAGACTAGATTCAATTCTGTTATATTCAATTCTGTTAAATGCTTTTTGCATTTTTTTTTTTTTTTTTTTTTTGGAATAAGGCACAAAAGGAGACTTCGGGCTGAACTTCAAGCAAAAGTTAATGCTATTCTCTTTTGGGTTCAACCACCCACTTTGCTTAAGGTCACTAGTTGAGGCTAATGCAGCTCAGAGGGGCTGCAGTAAACTTGGCATCTCCTTGATTAGGCTCCCTGCTGATCTAATACACATACTAGCTCACTTGCCAAGTCAAATAACACATTTAGTGAATTGGAAATAAGATTTAAGTGGGCCAGCACAATGCGGCTTGCCCTCTCATCTTTTTACCGAATCCTTCTCTTTGTATGCAAGGCTGTGAAAACTGCTCTTGTTAGAGGACTTAATCTTCATTTTTTTCCTGTAGATTATTTGGAAACAGGTCAATTGAATGTTGGAGCTGCTAACTCCTCCCACTAAAGAAAGAATCCGCTTGTGGCATACTGATTGCATCATTTAAATGAAAGGCTCCTATTATTACAGATAAAATACTATAATATAAGGATCTGTTAGAATTAATAAAAAAAAACCTGATATTAAATGCAGTCCTTTTTTAACACTGTGTTTATTTCTTTGTCTTATACATTCTTTTCTAAAGCGTGCTTTGTATTAACTACTGGTGAGTAATAGGAGGGGATGATCACATCAGTATATATTCATCTCCCGTGGCTGTTCTGCTGCAGTTAATTCTTAAATACAGTAGGTTATAATAGGGTGACATTTCTATAGTGCCTTTCATAAGAGCAGTCTAAAGCATGTCATATAATGTTTGACTTTGAACTATTCAGTTTCTTAGTGACACAAATCTCAGGGTAAATTTATGCCTTCGTGGTTTGTTTCCTTAAAAAATATGAGTCATTGTATTTGTTATAGTTTGAAATTTATCATAGATTCACCATAGATTATCAAGTTATCCATGCCATAATAATCTGTAACTGTCCTTATCTGTGTGTTAGATGTGCAGGGTTATGATGTGTGTGGACTTTTTACGATCTACTTATCTCTTCTGGTCATATAGATTTATGTGTATCTCTTTTCTGACTAAATCTGAAAGCAGAGCTTGCATTCTGAAGAAATAAAACATATCTATGTAAAATCCAAGTACTATTCCCTGACATCTAAAAGTTAGAGAAAAATGATCATAATACCCTCCACCAAAATAAAGAGATACTCAATTTCAATGGCCATTTTTACAAAATAAAATGTTCAATGTGTGAAATGTATAATGTTCCCTGAGATTAAGTATCCCCAGCATGATTTTTGGAGTCACAATAAATAGACTATTTCAAAGGACAGTGTTTGATTATCTAAAATTTACATATTTGCAACAGTTGTTTCTGATTGGAAAGGATTTATTTACTTACCCAAAGCAAATAGCTTTTCTAGGAAACGTGAAATAGGTTATACCGTTTGTACTGTGTTTAGTCATTACATTTCACTCCTCAGAATGAGTACCAGATCTCTGTACTCTGTAATGAATTTCCTCACAGTTTGTAAAACAATGCTAGTAATAATAATAAAGAATTGATCAATTTAATATTCTAATCTGGACTTCAGTCTGAGGTTGTTGTGCCATCCAAAAACACTTTGTAACTTCTAGAGAACTACACAAATGTGAGGTCATCGCTATATTTGTCATCTCGTCCACTATATTTTACCCTTTTCTTTTACCTGTTTTGGACATCAGTAATGTTAAAACTCATCTCTAATTAAAAAAGCAGAAAAATTGAAAATATTACAAATCGTAAAATTATGACTAAACATGAAATTATTATGAAAAATTGCAGACTCCTAAAATAGTCTGAGTTTTGTTTTTTGTATTGTTAGGAATTATATCTTTTTTTTTTTTTTTGATGCCTTAGCTACAGATAGGTGGCATCTAACCTCAAGGTAAGGTGTTACTGCAGTAGTAAGGCATTTTTACCTCACTACAGTTTGTCAGTAGAGAAAATATTTGTGGCATATTGATGTTCTACTGGTTAGAAAATATGTTTCTCCAAGCTCATGGTTTTTATTCTGTGTTCCTGTAACTACTTAGAGCAACTTTGGGACATTAATACATCAGTAACAAACACAAATATGTGATTAATGGCTTCAAAGTACCTGTCACAACTACCCTTTTTGATTATCTTTATATCTTCTGTTAATGTTCAGAGATGTTCAAAAGGTAGATTACATTTTACACTTGTACACTGAGAATGTTTGGAAGACATAATTGTGAATGAAAAAATTATTTAAAAGACAGAAAATTTTATGTTTTGGGAAGAAATGACAATTAGTATTTTAGCCATTTCTTTCTCAATAACAAATGTATGCCAAAATACCACCTGTTTAGTTCATAGCATCCAAGCAAAACTATTTTTATTAGCTATATTAGACATATTTTTCCTTACAGTTTCTTCAGTTTTTTGAGGTAATTACCATAATGTAAGTACAAATAAAAACATAATGTTATGATAAACTTAGGGGATAAAAGTGTATCTTAAAATTTTATTTACATTTGTTGCCATTTCAGACAAACAACTGAAAACTTACCCTCCCTTTTAAATTAATAAACTTAGAACAATATTAAACCTAAATTTAATTCCTCACAGTCTTCCTTTTGTCCATTCCTAAGAACAACTTTCTTGGTTATAGATTGGAAAGGGGTATCTCAGTTTTACATAGCTGTATAACTTTTTATTCTCCCCAGGGGCAAAGAATGAAGTCCTATTTCATAATTACATATCTATGGTATTGTGTGTAAGGGAATGATATCAGGAGATAGTATGTGACCTACATGTTCCTAGAAAGAGCATGACCCAATAAGGGTACATGTATTTTTAAATGATTATGCGTTTCTAGTAGCAAAAGAGCCAGAACCTAGAATTGCAATCTCTCAATTGCAAATTCATAAGAGCAATTGGGAATTCCCTGCTACTATTCCCACCCTTAACCAACTAGTATATGCAAGCATAACAAGAAATTACTAAAGATAGTGCTGTACAATATATGTAGATAACTAGGAAAAATGGTAGCCCCCTACCAACCATCAATACAGTTACTAACAATCTAGAAGAAAATGTGCTATTAAAAATAGGTACTGAATCATAGGGTTAATTATTGTTTAAGTATTCTAGCTATGATAATATAATTCATTCAATTTACATAAAGTGAAAAGTGATAATGGTAAAATTCTTACGTCTGGAGTAACTTTACAGCTCTATAACTGACTGTTTTGATGACCTTGAAAGTTACATAGAATAAAAATGTATGCAAAAATACTTTAAAGTAATTCTTTTATCTTCCCATTAAGTTGATGATACAGAATGTATTTTGATAAATATAAAATTCATTTTTCACATTTAACTGATTTATTGTATCTCAAATTTGGCAAATGGGCATTTTCTTAAGTACGGAAATGTTTTATTTTTATTGTAAAGATTTGCTTTTATTTCAAATGCATGAGTGAGTGACAAACTTTAGAGTCTAATAACGAAAAACAGCGTGTAAAAAATAGTTATAGCATTTTTTAAAGAAATAGATTAAAATTTATTTATAAAGATTGAAAAAAGTTATATATTGTTTCAAATTTTACTTTCATTTTATTAACTTCTGTGAATGCTATTATGATTTAGACACTAAAGTTTTTCTCACATTAAGTTATTCAGGTAAACATATCTAGAGCAAAAATTGCTTGACTATAGGGAGCGGGTCTTATTTATTTATTTTTTTTAAACTACACTTATCTATAGTAAGTGTCTAGTCTCTAGTAGATCCTCAATAAGTACCGTTGATAGGATGGAATAAAAGTGCCATAATTAGATACATGCAGTTTGCTTTAAAACTGTTTACAATTATACACCTGGAAGAAGAAGAAGCAGCACAAAGATAATTGAACTGAACCTTATACTTGGAAATAAAAGCCCATCAAATAATCAGATTGGTTAAAGAAATTGTTTATAGTCATCTTAGTTTAAAATTAAAACAAACCTTTTTCATTAATAATTGTTAAAATAGACTGAATATATTTTTAACAAAACCATTGCATATTTTAGTTACACATGGAAAACTTCTGTCCAAAAAGTTTTGCTGTTTGAGAAGTAAAATTACTTCTTAAAACCCAGAACTGAGAAATACATATCATGCGTAA